CAGGAATGGAGATTCTCTTAAGCAACTTCTTCTTTTTATTATGAAGAATATTTATTTATTGATACCTGGAATTGCCTTTACTACAATTTCTGATCATTGTCTCCTGTCCTTTCATAGTGCACCTGTGGAACAGGTCTAGCTCTGCAAACCCCCTTTAAAAAGTCTGTTCCTCTACTGGACTATTGTGTTTTGAATATATTTATTGTGTTGTTTCTAGAGCCCAAAATTAGTCTAGGTATTCCATACATATCCTCACGATGCTGAGCAGAAAGAAATAACCACTTCTTTTGCCTGCTGGTTATGCTATTGCTAATGCAGCTGGGTATGTAGTTTATCTGCATTGCTGCAAGGACATGCTGCTGACTCATTTCAGCTTCTCCCTCAGATCATTTTCTACAGAGCAGCAATACAGACAGACACTTCGCAGCCTGTTGCAATGCATGAGCTTATTCCCTCCTACAGACATGGATGTATTTGCCTTGGATACAAGAAAACTTCTGGTTATTCTGGCTTAAGTAGATTCACAGTCAAATCACCATATTCTTTAAGAAAGAAAAAAACATCAAAACTTAACATAATTATAAACATTAGTTTACTTTCTCTTGAGGATTTCACACTTAACTAGAACTACAAGTACATCACAGCAAAGAGATTTTTACACAAAAAGGCATTGATAACAATTGATTCTGGCTGTGTGGATGTTTATATTATTTATCTTCATCCATTTATCTCACCAGTGAATGTATCATGACTGGACTGACATGTCCTTTGCTGTGAATGAATGCAATGGCATTTGTACTGTAGATATGGGCATACTAATAGATGGATGAAAAGAATTGTTTCCTTTGAATATGTGACAGGTTTTCAGCCAGCTACTTAAAAACAGATGAGGGCCAAATTCTACCCTGTTTGTAATCTTGCTGTATGATAATTTGAACAAGGTCACAAGACTTCCCATCATATGTGTAGAAGGGGAACTGTTTTCATACAGAATATTAGTTCTGAAAGAAGTAAGCATTCTATTTACACATATGGAAGAGGTTTCAAGTCTTCCAGGAAATCTGTTTGAAAACTATTTACAGCATTAGTATGCAAATTATATATTACACACTAAATGGGAATCTTGCAGCTAGAGCACACTGATAGGCATCTCACTATTTGAACTATGGAAGTCCAGTTTAAAAAGCAACACAGAAAGAAAACACAGCTGGATGTAATTGTATCCAAACACATACTTATTATGTTAATAGGGGCATACGAATAAAATGAAATGTTGTCCGGCAAAGTTTTTCCCACAAAGATTCTGAGTTATTCTGGCAAAATGTTCAAATAATGCAAGCTTTTGTGTATGTTTTAATTGAAAAGGTGTTTGATATTTATTCCTAAAAATTGACAGATGAAGTGTGGCAGTGCCAAGGAAACAATAAATCCTTCTCATGTAAAGTATCATTTTAATAAATGTTCTTCAGTTGAGAAGAAAACATTAATTGTGGCCCCAATTACATTAGGTACTTCCAGTGATATAATTTAAATCAAATTACGAGAACAGTATTGTATAGTGGTAATACATAGTGATATACATCTTAAACTCCTGTTTTTACTCCATGTTGTCAGAGTAGTGATACACCCTTTAGCTGCCTTCATTTTTGCATTGAAGCTTCCTGACATTTCCTTGCCTGTACCTTCCTGCTGCTGCTGCTGCTCTCCTGTCATCTTCCTTTCAGTCACACCTTGGTCCCATTTCTGCCCTCGTGAGTGGCCCTGCTGAAGTTATGCCACAGCAGCTTTGCTTCAGCATGGGAGGTTTCAAACAGCCAGGTGTCAGTAAGAATGCTGTAGAAGGTCAGTACTGGGTTGGGTCCCTTTCAAACCAGCAAAAGCTTCACCTGTTTCATTCCTACAAGTCTCTCAGAATTTCTTGTGTCACTTGAGTCAATCTGCACAGCTCTGATGTATAACTAACCTGGGCAAGGAGTTTCATCTGTTCATACCAATTTACTGCTGGTGGACTTGAAATTGTTGAAAATAAGAGGTTTCAGATGAGGCTTATGCACTGTTTTTAGGTTTTGTTGTTTGTTGTTTTGGGGGGGGTTGAGTTGGGTTTTTTGGTGGGTTTTTTCCTGTTTTGTTTTCTTTTTTTTTCCCCTTCTCCATTTTTAGGACATGCTTTTAACAAACTATAACTGAAAACTAAATAAACAACAGTTTGTGCCTTATGTAAGTGTGCCTACTATTTAAATGGCTGTGTTCAAGGGCTGTAGATAGTGTTATAAGCCCATGTTTTACTGACTGCCAGCTGCTGCCATAATCCTGAAGTAAATGCTTTGTTTTCTTTTTAACTGTCTATCTCAGGATACTGTCCTGTGAAATTACTTTCTGCCTTTAAATTGAATGTCATGCAGGATTTTGTATTTTTCAACCTTTGTTGTCTTTGAAAAATAAAACGTGTTCTGAGTTTAAAACTACCATTTTTGTTCACAAGCACAAAGTGTATTTGCCAAATCTGAGTCAATAGGCATGTCGGATGCAGTCTTGAGAATATTATGTAAGTGTCTATTTTTATTCTTAGTGTTGAAGAACTGTTTATACTGCAAGTGTAATGTGATCAGCCACACATTAATGTATTACTTTAAAATAAAAAAACACATTATTTATATGTCTAAAATCATACTAGGTTAAAAAAAATATCATTCTGTTATTTAAAATATTTTCCAGATTTTCCAGATGTAAAATAACATTGGCCTGTTTAATGAAATGTATTTGTTTCTCAGCTCTGCCTATGTAGGAAATGCTTAAAACTCTTGTCTGAAGATTCACAGCCACATCAAGCATCTACATTAAGCTGAGAAGATAAAGCTTGTATCATTAGTGTGTTAATAAGTCCAGCTTGGTTGTGTGACAAGTAAATTCTACATCTAGCTACTTCCATTTAAAAAAAAACAGCCTACTTTCACTTAGAAACTGTTCCCAGTAGAGAGCAGATTTTGTACTTCCCACGCTATCATTGGCAAATGTAATCCCTCTGAAATCAATAGTTAAAACTCAACTGAGACAATAACACTTAGTAGTAGTTGTTTCCAGCAAGGGCAAAGAAGAGATTTCTGCAGAGTGTGTAGAGTGAAGTGTGAAAGAAAGATGAGTTAGGAGAAACTGGAGGACTTGTGTCCTTTGGGATGCTACAGCCCTGTGAGAATGAATCTTTGAAGGCCAAATAAATAAGAGGCCTGTAGTTTTTTACTGGGTTTTTTTTGTTTGTTCCTTTGTTTGTTTTGTTTTCTGAAGGAACAAATCTCACTTTGGCACATTGTTTTAAACTTTTTTTTTTTTTTTTTTTAAATGATAATCTATAAAAAATTGACCCAAAACTACATGCTCCTGAAGGGAGTTGAGCCTGAGGTGGAAATTGCCCAATTTTATTATTTTTTTTCTTCTTAGATCAGCCAATACTTCTTTGCTGGATAGCTAGAATGCACATTGTCTGGCTTCCTTGGCAAAACCAAAGCAGAAACATGTGATTAGTTTCTGTCATTTTGAGAATTTATTTTCTCTCAAATTCATGATGTCATGAGCTCTAAATATGTGGTTTTCAGTATCTCACTCCAAAATTCCCAAATACTGCCAATAGCAATTAAATTTGAATTAGTACCTGCCTATGCTGCAAGTGTGTCTTAAACGGATTTTCTGCTCCTCTGTACATTGCTTTCAGTACTTTCATCATAAATACATAGAGTAAAACTTGTCCTGAAAACCATCATAGGGTCCAGGAAATAAGGCTGAATAGTGAAAGAGTCTCTCTGATAATAAGGCAGACAAAATGGTACTTTAGATGCTTCCTTAGACTCTATCATATTTATGTTTTAGGTACACCTGCAGAAGGACTTCAAGTTATTATATATCTCTAGTTATTTATTTTCTTAGCCTTACAAACTGAAAAGGAGTATCACAACAAAAATAGTATGGAGTTCCTTTGCAGATTTTTATCCTTGTACTTTCCTCTCTTTTTCTTTTAATAGCCTGGATGTGTAAACACTACTGAAGTGGATATAAAAAAATCTTCAAGAATGAGAAATCCACATAAAACAAGAAAGGTAAGTACTGCTATTATATCAAAAGCAGAAGGTGGAGGTAATTTATAGCATGAAGATCCGTAGTTTCTTAAAATAATTTTGTCTTGCAGCTGCAAAGAACAAATACATGAACATATGTTGTTATTTCATAAGCTCTTAAATGAATTAATATAAACACATTTGCTAATACTAAGTAAATGCTATCACATTAGAAAGGCTTTGGAGAAATACACAAAGAATATGAAAATGAAATCTATTTGCCCATGCTTTTTCGTGTTATTTAGTTGATTGAAATAAGTGTGTTAAAAATGTTTCTGTCAGTAATAAAAGAAAAATACATTAAAAATGTAGTGTAAACTGTAACAGCAGTTCTTGTCCTGGTTAATGTAGAAGGTGTCTCTAATTTACAATTATGCCCCAAATGGATGACCAGAAATTGTGGAGGAAATTTGCTTCATCTAAATTAGGACTCAGACATGAGCAGCACTCTAGGGATGCACAGATGGGTTGGAATTTCTTTCAAATCCTTTGTATCATAATAATGTAGTTTGACTCCAACTTTGAAGTACTGCCTTTAAGGTATATTTTCATATCAACTCATGGAAAAAATATGTTTTTAAAAGGAGAATGAATTTAGAGAAAGCTTTATCTTAGTTTATTTATGGTGCTGAAAGTTCCAGATTATTGTAATTTACCAAACAGTAATTGCAAATTTGGAAGTTGTCCAGATAATACATTGTGATAGTCTACCTTTCAGGATACTCTTTCTTCTTTTCCACTCCACTTACTGTAATAGCTGCCGTTCAGTGTCATCCCCCATGCTTACTATGCTGTTAATATAGATACATAATCAAAGTAGATCCTGAGTGCTATGACACTGAAATTGTGGGATTTGGGGAGTCTTTCTTGTACACTGTGGTATAGAAGCACAGTTTGATCTGACTGCATGGCTTATTTGCATTTTCTTTAGAAAAAGACGATCTTGGCTAACTTCTTGAGTACACTGTACTTAAACATCACAGTTGTTATGGGTATGTGGGGAAAACATTGTCTGAAAGCAACTATTATTGTTCCATATTTTTTTGTGTAGTCTGTCTACGGCTTACAAAATGACATTCGAAGTCACAGCCCTACCCACACACCAGTACCAGAGACTAAGCCACCCACAGAAGACGAACTTCACCAAGAGGTTTGCAAAATAACTACAAACATGTACTTGTAAATGAAATTTCTAGGAAAGTAGGTATTAAACAAAAAAAACCACAACAACAACTGGGAAGTATGCTCAGAGAAAATCTAGCAAATGCTTTGTAACCTTTTTTCAGGATATACGGATTTAGGTATGTAACTTCCATTAAAACGAATGAGACAAAACCTGACTCTTTTTGTAACTTGATTAAAACAGCTAAAGGTATTTAGCAACAGTCCAGTTAGTGGGTTTGTTGCATAGCTAGGCCCATCAGCCCATTTAGCAGTAGACAGTTCTCTCTTCCTTTTAACACTGATTGGAAATTCAGGGGTATGTTTGCCTCTCCATGTATGAATGGATGGATACATACATTTATCTACATCTCATGCTTCATTAATCTTTCCTGAGTTGTTAGAATTGGGGGAAGGTAAATGTCTGAAGATTTAGTGGTTTTCTTCCAAAAAACTTAAAGAAAAGGCTAATTGGATTTCTGTTGATGAACCATTAGGGAAAATGCTATTTTATTTTTTTTGTCTGTATGATCTTTTCTCTTTGATGAAAATTTATTTTAGAACTACACCAGTGGAATGTTGTTTTAACTCAGATATAATTCTTTTTTTGTGCCGTAGGATAAATGAAGGTTAAATTAGAGCCCTAATTAAAAAGTTATAGAAGTAGAATCAAGCAATGTATTACTCATAACACACTTTGCCTTCCTTTCTTGCAGATTAAGCACTGGCAAATGCAATTAGACAGACATAGATTAAAAATGTCAAAAGTTGCAGAGAGGTAAGTATATTGTCACATCTTCTGTTTTTTCAATTAGACTCATACCTATTGGGAAAATGTCAGTATGAAATAGCTTCAAAGAAAGAGACAAAAGAGCTCAGGTGTCACAGAAAAATCTTACGAGAGTTTACTTTAAGTGGGAGGTATGACGTTCTTTTATTGATAAAAGATGGCCAGATATTCCATGATATGTTTCTGATAGAACCAAGAGTGACTTGAAGAGCCTCTGACCAAGTAGTCACAAGTTTCACCTTGCGTTGGAAGGGAGGCTTAAATGGAAGTAGGTCTGCAGTTATTTTGATATTTCAGAAGAGCAATCCCTGCTGAAGCAATGGAGCTGACTGGCAGAGCTGGCTGGGTGAGGAACTCGGTGCTTGCACAAAATGAGTCTGAGCTTACTTCAGATCAGAGGATATAAGACTAGTAGGAATCTTTCTCCAAATAAGACCAAAATCTGTCAGGAAGGGACTAGAAAGTAAATAAAACAAGAAGCAGCTCAGAGAGACTAATGGCAACTTAGGTAGAGAAGAGCTGAAGAAAAGGAAGGCTCTGTCTTATACATCAAAGACAGCGAAAATTGCAGAAAGTCAAGCTCCATGAGGCTTATTAAAGGAAATTAAGCCAAATTCAAATGGTTCTTCATCCTCTCATATACAGTTATGCATATGTGTCTACTTATGTATGTGTTGTATGCATGCACATACGAACATATTTATCAAGAGACCTGGTAAAGAATTTGTGTTTATTTAACAGTAAATAATATAACATAAATAGAATGAAAAAAAAATAATAATATTTTTCCTCTCTTGTCAGTTTTTGAAAGCAATAAACTTGGGAGAAGTGCAGTTGGATTAGGAAATAATAAAAATATTAACAGTATTTAAAAGAGGAAAAATAGAGTCCCAGCTGCTGCGGGGCCAATAAATATAACCTGAATAGGATGCAGTGTTTTAGAACAGATTTTAGAGGAACTGATAATTAAAACTATAGAAGTATAAAACATGTTCCTTTATGAAAGCAAATGTGGAAGAGGTTTACTTGATTTAATTAATTAGTGCCTAAAGTAGCCCTAAAAGGAGCTGTGTAGAAGTATCACAAAGTCTTGAGCTTTTTTCATTTCATCACTTGATAAGACCTGAGCCATCACTCCTTCTTCCGGGGTCCACTTTTAAGAGTCTTGAGCAAACCTTTTTCACCTGAGCTTGTAGCTGACTTCTGAGTGTGTGCACAGCTGGTTTCTGTGGCTCAGTTGATACAAGGCACCTTATTAGCTGGAGTAACCTGACCAGGTTTCCTCACCTCCTGACACTACAATGTTTGATGCTTTTGTTTTCCTAGTCTATTAGCTTATACAGAGCAGTATCTGGAATATGATCCTTTTCTTGTGCCCCCTGATCCCTCAAACCCTTGGATATCAGATGACACCACTTTCTGGGAACTGGAGACAAGGTATATAATTTTATTTCTTCTTTTGGGGCAAGAGATATAACAGGCTTTTTTTGAAACATCACAATTTCAGACAGAGGTATTGCAGAGAAATACTGAGGCAGAAGGGCAGTGCAAGATCCTTTTGGTCTTTCCATCTTTACTGTTTTGTTTAAGGATTAATAAATCTGTGTTAAAAGTTACAGTAACCGATTTCTGGGGTTCCACTGTGAGGAAAAAAGACACCTTGTAAAATCTGATAAAATTTCCTGGTTGGAAGTCCTTGATCTTCTGTGTAAATGTATGTGAATTACCTTCATCCTGTGTAAGCACTAATGGCCTGGTTGCTCATCTCTGAATGTTGCACAGACAAGGTGAGACACTGCAACAGGCTCCCCAGGGATATTGTAGATATCATATCCCTGGAAATGTTCAAGGCCTGGCTGGCTGGGACTCTGAGCAACCTGGTCTGTGGGAGGTGTCCCTGCCCATGCAGGGGGGTTGGAGTTAGATGATCTCTAAGGTCCCTTCCAACCCAAACCATTTTATGATTCTCTTATATGAATACTCTGGAGGGTGAGAAATCTGTAGTTCAACTTTACTACTTAGTCCATGTTATGAACATAGAGTATTAGAATAGTGAAGTATTGCTGATTGTAAATTCTGTTGCTTTCACTTCTGTAGCAAAGAGCCAGGACAGCAGAGGGTGAAACGGTGGGGTTTTGGCATGGATGAAGCTTTGAAAGACCCTGTGGGAAGAGAGCAGTTTCTCAAATTCCTGGAGTCGGAATTCAGTTCAGAAAATTTAAGGTAAATGGGAGGGACTTTATTTTCCAATAGGTTGTGAAATACCTTTTTTTTTTTTAAATTTCTTGATTCCTTCAAAAATTTCCCCATCTCTTTCCTTCAGAATCCATTTATGCAGATTGCTGCCTGCTCCCAAATTCAGGCTGAGGGAAAGATGGATATAGTTAGCACACACTCACAGGAAGCGTATTTTCTTATTCATGTCCAACTTTTGATCAAACTAGCCATTTAAGAGCTTTTTTCTCAGCTAATTTTAATAAACAGGTTTAAAACATTGACCCATTGAAAGCTGGTTCAGTATCTTTTATTAAGTCCAATATTATGAGAACAGTTCAATTAAAAAAGGTAATTTGTTTAAAAAAATAGTATGGGATTTGAAAGTAAAATTCACAGACTTTCACTGTTGGTCAGTTTTCTGGGGATCATTGGTCTTTTGAAAATCACCAATTCTAGTACTTTTGGGTCTGACACAACAGTAGTAGCGTGACAGCTAGCTCTCAGATTCCTCACTAAGTGCAAAATTTAAAGTGTATGAAGCTTAAATTGTAGGGGTTTTTTAAGTATCTATATACAGAATTACTTTTAAGTGAGGAAGAACAATTATTTTATTTTTAGAAACTATAGTCCTTCCATTGACTAACAACATGCTTTTGTTGTTGCTGTTCTAAGGAAGCTATATTTCCATAAGGATTATTTCAGAAGTACTAATAACAGCCTTTCTATAGGCAAGTCAAACTGCATAATTCAAAAGGATGTGCAACATATTTTTATTTTCATTCCACCTTCTTGTCAGATGTCATGTGTATTGCTTCCCATTCATCAATAGCATAAGGAGTATGAAATCCTATCTAGAATGCGAATCACACATTCTAGAATTCAGAAGGATCCTGAACTACTTTTTTCTATGCCAGTTCTCACTCCAAAGTGGTGCAGAATATTCATTCATACTAGGTTGCATTTATGTAGCATCTTGAAAGAGGCCTTTAGCATTGTGTAGTGGTTCATAAATGCTGCATAGTTTAAGTTTGTCAGCAGAACTATTGGAGATGGACTTCTCTAAGTTGCTGACCATGTTCATATTCAAACATTGACTTTTCTATCACAAATGTATATTAGATACTCTAGACTGCATGATATGTTTCAACTGATTTATTTGCCATTATCCCCATGGAGATATGTCCTGGCCTGTATGTCTATGTTTATAACTTCATTAGTGACAGATACAGGGTTTGATTATTTTTTATTTTTTTTAACTAAAAAATCCAAGTGGTTAAACGCAATTTTAAAAATCAGAATAATGCCAAGAAAAGATTTTTTTTTTTATTTTAAAACTAAAAGCCTGGTGATGCCTTGTGCAGAGCAGCTGTTCAAACACGAACCTATCCAGCCCAAAGTGTGTTGCAGTTTCTGTGCTTTTCTGTGATTGATTTGTCACTGCCAACTAGACTGTTACCTGTGTAATCCCTTGCCCTTTTGTTTAATCATGTTTACAACACTGACCACAGGCAAACTGGAATAATGCCAGAAAAGATTTTTTTTTTTATTTTAAAACTAAAAGCCTGGTGATGCCTTGTGCAGAGCAGCTGTTCAAACACGAACCTATCCAGCCCAAAGTGTGTTGCAGTTTCTGTGCTTTTCTGTGATTGATTTGTCACTGCCAACTAGACTGTTACCTGTGTAATCCCTTGCCCTTTTGTTTAATCATGTTTACAACACTGACCACAGGCAAACTGCAAGTGACTGATCCAGAAAAATTCCATAGATATGTTTATTCAGAGCTGATTCCTTACCATGCCATCTACTCTTCTGTCTCTAGGTTTTTATGTTTGTATTATATACTACAATATCTGAACAGTGGTGAATATGAGCTTAAAGGCTGTCCCTGGGAATGATCAGGCAGGAGATCAAACTTGCACAAAGAAGGTGCTGTGATGATTAACTGAAGGAAAACTTTCTTACAAGCTCAGGATTATGTTTATGAACTCTCAAACTGTGAGGAAATCAATCCACCATTAGGGTTGTGTAGTAAAGCCAGGTCACAGAGCATGAATTTGTAAAGCTTATTTATGCGAGTCAAAATGTTACAGATCTCAGTATCAGAAATTAAAAGCTTGAGGATTTTGAGCATTGCTTCTGAACAAACCTTAAATTTAGAAGACCACTAATTTCTTTGCTCACTTGTTAACCCCACTGTGGCAATTTGGGGTTTTTGGATGTTTTTTGAGGATTTGACAGTGACCTTGAGAAAAAGATTTCCTTCCATCCAAATCTTCCCACTGCAACAAAGTGAACTCTGGTCAGTAGCTTGCTCTTGTCCTTTTACAGATCTAATAATGATAACATTTACAACAAGCACCATCAGACCTACAGCAGGATAGATAGCTGGCACCCTGGATTCAAGCTACCAAGCACAGTACACAGGATACAGCAGGGGGCTGCAGACACTACAGAAAGATTCAGTATTAGTCAATTAGAAGTCTCACACTTCACTTTGGTGGAATGCCAAAAATGAGAAATTACAAATCTACCAGAAATACCTTTTCTGTTCCAGTGCAATTATCTTAAGTAGCTAAAAGTCCTTGTGTTACTGTTTCATTAACTTGGACCAAGTGTGTCTAAGCTGGCTGTGAATCTTGTTTTTAGTTAATGTAGGTGCTGAAGAAGCAGAACAGGGATAAAGAAACTTGAGCCATGAGTTAAAACTAAGAACTGTGCAATGATAAGGAATGCAACCAGGTTTCACCTTCTTGCTCTGTATCTCTGTGCATTTTCTTGGCCTGTAAATTGGGATTAATAGTGTGTCACTATCTAAAGGGGTGTTGCAAAGCATAGCAGAAGAGTAAAACTGTGTAAGCAGTGCTGTCAGTGTGGTAGCTTCATTTCAGTGTGATTTGCCAACACCAAGATTGGATTCTGCATTCATTTAACACAGGCTATGACTTGTACTCTCTTGTTACCATGTAGATTTTTTTGGAGGGATTGTTTTGCATGTTGCTTACTACACCGAATAAATAGCTAAAGTAACACATTATTTGTATAATAGCTTTGTAAAATTCTCACTGTCTATTACAAAATCGGTGACCATTGTTTAAAATTCACAAGCTGTAAGTCTGAGCATTATCCAGTACTACTGAGCTTGGTCACAAAGCTATCCAAGCACTGGAAAAGGACTGGAAAGGACAAAGAGAGTGAGATAGTGAAATGAGTATTACTGCAATGTAGTTACCTGGAGACCTGATTTCTTTCATCCTCAGTCCTCTCCATATCCTTCTTTTGTCTGTAGTGCTGCAGAATCCTTTGGAAAGGTGATATTCATATGCTGACTGTACATTGGCTCCCAAGTGTGTTTTTTTTTTTGTAAAAAATGCAGCCTGTAAATATCTAAATAGTTTCAGGCCTGCCAATCTGAAACCCATCCAAGTCATTATGCTGTTTTGCAGTAGGTGTTATCTCCAAGACAGTATTAATACTGCAAAAGCCTCCTAGGTTAGTGAAGGGACAGTGGTGACAGGACATCTTCCATGATGCGCAGAAGGAAGAGCCACTGGATCATTACTCCTTCCTTCCATCCTCATTTATTAGCTCACATAATGTGTGAGAAAGTAGGGAAAAGGGGCTTTGAGTTCTGGTTGTCCAGAAAAAGAAGAGAGGGATTAAGGAGTTAACTAGATTTAGGCGTTTTCTCTCCATTTTCTCCAACCATCCCTTGCAAGCTGAGATTTTGTGAGGTGTTTATTTTGGACTCATCAATTTAAGTTGTAGAAGTGTTCTGTACTGGAGCTAAAGGCTTCAAGGATATCCTGTAGAAAAAAAATAATAAAAATAAAACCCCACATATAAACTACTAAAAATTTGCAGTGTTGCCTACAAATTATTTTAGTAATTTTATGTTTTACTCAAGGGGTTCTTTCTATTATTTTATTATCACTGTAACAGTGCTTTTACTAGAGAACAGTGACAGTGCTACAAGAGTTTAAGTTCTCTTTTTAATCCAACCTGTTTCACTTTTTTGCTCTTTATCGCTCATCACCATTCTTGACATTTCTGTCTTCACTGATGGTGGAGGAGAGAGTTCTGCATGTTACAAACCACAAAGAATGATTAATTGTCCTTGATGTCTGTCCTGCAAGTCTGAACAGAAGTGTTGGTAATGACGCTTTCCCACACAGCACTGGTAATGTTGATTATGAGACTCTGTTTCGGGTGCTAATAACTTGATGAAATTCAATCCTCAAGGCTGAAATCACCTGTGCCTCATTTCTCATTCTGATTCAAGCTTAAACTCCAAGTCCCTGGAATGTTCGCATTTCTGCAGATTATATGAGAAGGAACTACTTGCAAGATTTAATGGTTTTCTCTGTCATTTTCTTGAAGACCTTCAGAACTGCTATGTCTTGAAGCTTGGAGTTCTACTGGGCAAGAAGGTGGACTCTAAGAATCAGAGTAGCCTTTCCTACCCCTCGAAAAGCATTAGCTGATTTTCACCATAGATTTTATAAAGGCTTTTCTTGCTTTAGCTGGAAAGGTCTGTTCTCTGACTTGTCATATGCACTAGGTGCAAAGCCTGAACAATTCTTACATCGCTGGCTCCACACTCTGCCTAAACATCACACACTTATTGAAGAATCACAGCAGCCTTTCTCTCACTGAGTATTCAGTGCTATATGCTAACTTTAGCTGATTAGCTTGATCTGGGACCTGCTGGTGGCTGCCTCTGACATTTAGGTCAGTTAATGGGACAGTAGCCATGTTGCAGCTGTGCTATATATCTGGCAAAGCCACTCTCACTTTGAAAGTAATCCAGCTGGAGGACGTAATCCCCAGATGTCTTGCAACATGTGTTTTGCCATGTCATGTGGCTGGATGTATGACTGTTCTATGCTAGACACTCTCACTCAGATACACGTCTGGTGCGTGACGTAGCGTGTGACCCAGCCTGTGGCAGCCCAAGTGCTGGGACAGAAGGCAGCAGAGAGGTTTACACCCAGCTACTCAGACCTCTGTTCCAATGGTACTAAGTAACTTCTAGATAGGGTCTCTATGTCAAAAGCAAACCTCCACCAACAGGAGACACAGCTTCATCCACGGGCAGAGAGTTTCCTTCCCCAAGTAGCACTAAGTCTGTGTGTATCACTGTCTGAAAAATGCAGCTGGGTCCACCCTCTCCCCTCTCCTGCCCTTGCACATACTTACTGCTGCACGCTGCATGCTCTGTGCTGCAGGAGTCTCACGAGGCAGAGAGCTGTAAAAGGGAACAGAGAGCTCTTCTGATTCCAGGCCCAGTGCTGAGGTCTTGCAGACTTAATTTCAAATTCATCTGTGCTCTTGGTTGCCATGGGATATTCAAAAAGTTATTTTTGAAAATGTAAGAAGTGGCAGCCTTATTTTTGGCATTTACTAACTTTGCATATTTGACTTTAACTCTCTGTGGGATAAGGGCAGGCATTTTTTTCTTGAAAGATCACTAAGTATATTAAAATGTTAAAATGTATGTTGGCTGTGGAGTAAGCATCCTAGACATAACACACCACAGAAATCAGCCTTTTCTTCCCACTTTTATGGAGGTTTCTATATTTAGAACCTCACATATTCAATTGGGCTTTAGAATGCTAATGTTAAAAGGGTAAAATAAAATTAATCTATCAAAGAGCTGGTGTTCAGACCATAAGGAGGTGTCTACACGACCTGCCTATTCTATGCTGGAAGTTGAATTCTTCTTCAACAAAGCTAAATTTATCTCCCATTGATTTCTCCATAATTGCATCCAACTTACTATACAGAAGCAGTTCACTTGCAAAATAAAATAGCATCCTAAGGCATGTTTGTGGTGACTTCCAGAAGTACTGGCAGTGATTTAATGGAACAAACAAGAATATGACAGCTTTGAACTAGATCCTCAGGATGTCTGCAGGGTGATGGAAAATGTGTGTTTACAAAGAACATCCTTCCCTTTCATTTTTCTATTTCTTACCTGACTTGGGTACACGAGTAGTCAGTCAGTCCCAGAAGATGCATTTGAAGGGGATAGCACTGCAGGATATACACTTTTAAATGCAAATATCAAAAGCAGCTTAAGGAAACCAGAGTAGGTTGCCCAAATTTGACAGAAGGAACTGAATTAGAGTTTGTGAGCTGTGCATTTTTTAAACTTGAGTTATGAGGCCTCTATTCTTACTGCATTGCCATCACATTCTCAGGATATGTCCCCAGGCTCTGTGTAAATTTTCGTTCAATTCACATTGCAGTTCACTGAGACAAGTGATGCTACCCATATTTTTTGAAACAGAAGTACTTCAGTTGTCAGAGACTCCCTTTGTGGCCTCTGAGAAACCACTGTACATTATTACATTATTAATATATTTGCCAAACTGGGACAATATTACTTCTCTGTCTTTTGGAGAGTCTTGAGGGATCAGTAGCGGAAGGTGTCCCTGCCCATAGCAGTGGGGTTGGAACTAGATGATCTCTAAGGAGTCTTCCAACCCAAACCATTCTGTGAATAGACAGATTGTGTTTAGATGCTATGGGAATCAGAGGGTATAGAAGTACCTAGAATAGTAATCTCAGTAGAATGAAGCTGACGATAAAGTCTTGTGAGCAATGAGTACAGGCTCCTTCCATCTGTGCTACAAAGGAGTTTCAAAACAGGACTGTGAAACACTAATTATGTCCTGGAAGGTATATCAACTCAAGTGAGGATTGCCTTATAGAAGGAATACTCTAAGGTTTTCTTTGCCATGCTTTACTGTCCTCTCTTAAGAGTTTTTGTGGTACCTGTATTAGAATTTGGATTTTGCTTTCTTGGGTTGTCTGAGTACAGTTCGATTATTCCTCTTCCCTATCCCATCCCTGTTTAAGCTAAGAGAGATCCTTTTGGCCACACAGTGTAAGCAGGGTGGCACCACACTGCATCACACTCCACCACAAAGGGGTACCCTTTCAGCACTTCAGGGTTCAGCTTATTTTTTTTTATAGGATCAGCTGTATCTAAACAATAAGGAAAACTTGCAATGGTATATATTGCATATTTAACAAAGTCTATCTTTAGCTGAGCTCTCAGGGCAGAGGAGGAGGAGGAACTAAGTGGTTTGCACCATGTCTAAGCATGGGATCCTAGTTGAATTTAGAATAATTTTGTGTGGTAAGTCTGAACACCCTTAGAAGAAACAATGATAAGACAATCATAATAACAAATGAAAAGTGATTATCAAAGCTTATAGCTAGCTAGCTGGCTGTGATCACAAAGACCTCAAGACCTTTTTAGTCCTGCTCCAGACAGTAAGGAGACATTGAGCTGGCTGGCACTGTATGTGGCTGCCTGATGTTGGTTTGCTCAGCAGCAGAATAGAGAATGAGCACTTCCATTCACCATCTTAGTAAAAATGTGCATTGAAATGCAATGCTGAAGAAAAAAATAAATTATAGCTGGCAAAGCACGTGCTTTTCCAGTTTGTACATGATTTGTGGAGTAATAGTAAAAAATTACATTTACACAGTTTATAGTTCATCAGGACTCATCAGTTCATCAGACATCAGGGAGATTTGTGTAGATAGCTAGAAAATAAGTTCTTTTTAGCTTCTGAAGGACTGTGAAAAATCAGTAGATTTATAAAAGATAAAACTTTATAAATCTTTATAAAAGATATAACTTTATAAATCTTTATAAAAGATATAACTCTTGTGATTCAGGTGAAATGAAATCTCAGTTTAATTCCAGTTAAATGGAAAACTTCCCATAAGCAAGTTACCCATACATAAGTAATGAAGGATTTCCCACCTGTCTCATTAAGACCCTTGCATTAATTGCTTCTTAAGGTGAATTGATTGCCTGAGACAATATACCAGAATATTGATCCTGACTTAAAATCACAGATGTTTTTGTGTGTGTGTGTTTGAGAGACCTAAGTTACTTAATTTATTTTTTTTTAAGAGCAAAGAAGAGTATGAACATTCAGTTAATTATTTTACTGAATTGGAAGTCAAGATGCTATATTGTTCCATAGGTTCTGGTTAGCAGTAGAAGACCTGAAGAAGAGACCTATCCGTGAAGTTCCTGCTCGTGTCCAAGAAATCTGGCAAGAATTTCTTGCTCCAGGTGCACCCAGCGCTATCAATCTAGATTCAAAAAGTTATGATAAAACTACACAGAATGTAAAGGACCCTGGAAGATACACATTTGAAGATGCTCAGGTCAGTTTGCGATCCTGTTCAGGGACATTTGAAATAGAATATTGGCTTGTGAAGTTTATATACAAATATAGTTTATATTTGGGAATTTACTGGTAATGCTCTGTTCCTAAAATGCCATTTTGGCAATACAAATGGCTAACATTCATTCATGAGGCCTATGAGTAAAGCTCTTCATTAAACTTCTGTGCTTGGCATAGAGTCTTCAAGTGGGCTTCAAATAAAGCAAAGCATATAGTGCAGTGAAAAACATATATTCATGTTCCTATTTTCTTAATTTTCTTATTCAGTTACATTACGTGAAAAGCTTCTTCCACACACACATTGATTTCTAGATCTCAAGATCTGTCTCTGAAAGACTTCTGTAGATACAGACTCAGTGTCCGTTCTCTCAATGTGTGTCCAAGAGTGTTGTTATCATATATAGGAGTCATAGGTTCCCATCATGAAAAGAATACAACCCATGTGAAAAATAACATTTTGTAACAGCTTCTGCAATATTTTTGTATTTCATGGGTGTTGTATATGCTATACCTTATTAAACTACTATCTACACAACATTGGGTAAACATCCTAAAGATCTGCTGCTCAATAATCAGTATTACAGCAGTAAAGAACAGTCTATAAATGTCTTATTTTACTTTGAGGAGTCTGATTTAGGCACAATTTGAATACCAGCATCAAAGGATAATTTTGACCAGAGTTAGATTTGCGCAAATACTTCTGTTTTTGAGATGGGAAATAAAAGTTTAAAAGTTCTGGTTTCCTCATAGGGAAAAACAAGTACTTCTCTATTAAATGCAACTCTTCATGTGGCTTATAACTTAGTATTTCATCTTTGCAAGCTTCTGAGAAAAGCAATAGAAAATAATTGGATTCATAGTAAAAATAGTAGAACTGGTGCCATCCTTCCTTTTTCATCAGCAGCCCAGTGATGAAAATTTAATTATTAACGCAAAGTGAAATTGTGTCAAAAGGAGAGATTGAGATCATATCCCTGCAGATTTCTTATAGCTTGATTATTGGGTCATCATCTTGGGAGTCAGGAGATGCTGCTGCACGTCCCATGGAGGAGAGCAGGGAATTAAATCAGGACTTCCTACTTTTTGGGAAAGTGCCTCTGCCCTAAATAAGAGCAGAAATAATTCTACCGTCTTTTCATTTTGCTGTTATGAGAATAGCAACCTAGACACTCAGGATCATACTCAAGGTTTTGAAGTACTCTGCATTAAGCCAAACACACAGTTTTCACTTGCATCTGCTAATGCTCTGGAGATTTAGGAATGCGGTGTATAGCAAAGACATAAATTACACAAATAAGCCATCTAGAAAGATTAAAGATTAAAAAAAAAAAAAAAAAAAAAGTCTTTGCACTTGTGTCAGTAGAGGAAAATTAAATTCCTTGCCAATATTCAGTATTTTTTTTCAAAATTAAGTATAAAATTTCAATACAATTTTACTTTCAGATCTCTGTTGTGTTTTTTTTTCCCCCTTCATTTATGAATGACAAGGATTATTCAGTCTTTATGCAATCAGAACTTTTCTTCTTGTTAGACCTCTGTTTTTAGGTCCAGTTCAGTATACAACTTGAACCTGGAAGCCTCAGTTTCTCTGGGAAAAGGGGGCATATGGTACCTTCCTTTGTCTGACTTGAAGCTTGAGGACCTTAGAGAGTTGCAGGGTTTTTGAGGAGTAGGGCTCTGCCGCTGCAGAAGGCTTTTTATGGCCTGCCAGCTGGGAAAGAAACCACTTACAAGTTGTTCTGTCAGTTGCCAGGTGATTTAATTGTGGTTAAAAATGTTTTGCAGAGCATTTCTGAACTTGAAAGATGGCACCATGGAATTCCATGTCAAATGAGAGTAATACACAAGTGAAAATAGACCAGTTGTGCTAAATAACATCCAGCCTCAATTCTTGACTAATGTGTCCATTAACATTACTAATAGAGCATAATTTATTCTTGCTTTTCACAGAATCATACAGAATCCCACAATGTTAGGGGTTGGAAGGGACCTCGAAAGATCATCTAGTCCAAACCCCCTGCCACAGCAGGGTCACCTAGAGTAGGTCACACATTAACATGTCCAGGTGGGTTTTGAAAGTCTCCAGAGAAGGAGATTCCGCAGTCTCTCTGGGCATCCTGTTCCAGTGCTCTGACACTCTCACAGTGAAAAAGGTTTTCCTCATGTTTATGTGAAGCCTCCTATGCACCAGATTGCACCCTTTGCCCCTTGTCAAACCAGGTTTGTTTTTTGACAACATTTATATGCTCATCACCCTTAATATGTACAATGGGAGCAGAGCTCTTTCTGCTCTCTGTTGGCTGCATGGGCTGCTTTTGTAGAAACTGAGTGGAATAAAAATTCCTCAAATGAACCAGCCTCAATTCTGAATATACACCAGAATGTGTCTGATTAGTGCAAGAAATTCAATGAAAGACACTTAGAGTAATTTCTAATATTTCTAATACAACAACAATTTAAAATTTGCTTTAATTTTACCTTGCCATAAGTTTCAAACAAAGTGGTTTGATGGGTTTTTTTTCTATTCACTAATTTTATGCAGTACTAAGCTGAGAAACAGTATTTGCTTTACAGTTTAATTGCTGTTTCCTGATTGCCATTCTATAAGTTTCCTATACTAAAAGATACAGTTTGCATAAAAAATGAAACAAAAACTAACACAGTTCAGTGGATGTTTTAAAAATATTTTTAGTATTTCCTATTCATATTGTTTTTTCTACAAATCTCTTTCCTAACTTTATATCTAGAACTAGAATTATAAAGTGTCCAACATCAAAGATTTTTAGTTTTTCTTAATTTACAGAAATGAAAATGCTCCAAAAATAAAAGCTATATAAACTGCCTGTGTAATTTTTTTTCTGGATAAGTGTTTCAAAATTTTCATATGCCTTGGGAGAATAAATAACTTGGAAATTAGATTAGCCTGGAGCTGTTTTTCAATTTGCATATGTGTTTTCCTTTCTACGTTGTCAGCTGGATAGCAGAATAAACATCTGTCAAAGGATGCTTTCGAGAGTAGCCAGGGAATATCCTTCTTAACTTAAGCACTTATTTATGATGCTGAATTAGAAACCTCTTACCTTTTCCCAGCCTGTGAAGTCAGAAAAGGACGTCCAGAAAGTCTGATGAGGAATGATCTGCAGCTCCTGATTTAGTCACTTAGCTAAACTGGTGAATGTAAGGGAGGTTTAAAACAAGGCCTTAAGCTAAAACTTGGTTATAAGTTCTTAGGAAAATTATTCCGTAGTGGAAACAGGAATGGTGTGATGAGTTCTTTATACATAACAAATGGTTGTGATTTCTGCTTTAAGAGCAGAGAGCAGCTCAGCCTTAGCTTCAGAACTGCAACCTGCTATCCTGTCAGACTTGCTATTCAAAACAGTGCCGGCTGGTGTGCATTCCCAACTAAAACCTATGGGATTGCCTTCCATTTTACGGATATTGTCTTTGGTGGGAGTAACAGCTCCTTCTTTCCCTTTCAGGAGCACATTTACAAACTGATGAAAAGTGATTCTTATCCTCGTTTTATACGATCCAGTGCCTACCAGGAGCTGCTACAGGCCAAGAAAAAGGTATTGGTCCATCTTGCCTTTGTCTTGCCACTGTGCAAAGCGGTGGTTATGTTTGCAACAATACTCAGTCTTCTCTCCCCTGTGCCAGTGCAACTGGATATCTGGTAGGTGACCAGCTTGGCGTGTTTGGAGGGTCACATACACACAGGAATTCAATATACATATATGTGTATATATCCTGCATGCGGGCATGTTTCAATAAGTTAATCTAGCAAAACTTATTTTTATTTTTACATCCCATGTTGTACTGTTTTCTCTGTTATGAAGCACCTTAAATTGCAAAGTGCTTTACAAATACATTAAAAAAATAAAATAAAATCCCAGAAGAATAGTCTTTCATGTTTGCAAGTTTGCTTATGTAATAATTGTTGTTCTCTTTATTCCACGTATAAGAGCTACAGAATGTGTTTAGAAACAATCTTATTGGTATGAATAACTTCTAATTTCAGCTATAAATATAGG